GTGGCTCACAAAAGCAGGCTCTAGGTTTCATTGCCCTACTGTCCTTACGAAGTTCAAAAGCTCTAAGAGTGAAGGAATTTCAGCACTTACCTCAATGTGTTGACTAATAATACCTCCTGCCAAGCAGAGCTACCACTGCCATTGACACAATTCACTAATTGTGGCTGTAGGAATCCACACCGTGAAGGCAACCCCTGCTGGCATGAGCCCTCACCTGATGATGGGATGGGGTCCATGGGTATTACACCATCTCACTGTGACATGGAAGGGCTGGGCTGGGCTGTGCCCAGTGCTCTACTAAGGTGGCAATGGGAACAGGCTGAACTGCAGGGGTGCGGATTTGCACCTATGACATTAACCTGCGGTTAAGCAGCATTATCCCTTTCAACCCAGGCAATTCTATGCTTCTATGATTACCCAGTGAGAGGAGGCATCAACTGTTGTACACAAGGCAGTTGGGACCAAAGTGTGGTTAGATATTAAGGAAATCCATCTGTCAAAGAAGAAGTTAGGAGATGGATGCATTTTTTTAAAATCATAGAATTGTAGAATGGTTTGGGTTGGAAGGCACCTTGATGATCATCGAGTTTCCCCATAGGCAAGGACACCTCCCACTAGACCAGGTTGCTCAAAGCCCCATCCAGCCTGGCCTTGAACACCTCCAGGGATGGAGCTTCCACACCTTCTCTGGGCAACCTGTTCCAGTGCCTCACCTCCCTCAAAGTGAAAATCTTCTTCCTAATATATAATCTAAATCTCCCCTCTTCCAGTTTGAAGCCATTCCCCCTCATCCTATCACTACATGTCCCAGTAAAAAGTTCTTCCCCAGCTCTCCTGTAGGCTCCCTTTAGGTACTGGAAGGCCACAATAAGGCCTCCCCAGAGCCTCCTCTTCTCCAGGCTGAACAACCCCACCTCCTCAGCCTGTCCTGATAGGAGAGGTGCTCCAGCCCTCGGATCATCTTTGTGGCCCTTCTCTGGACCTGCTCCAAGAGGTCCATGTCTTTCCTATGTTGGGGACTCCAGAGCTGGATGCAGTAGTCCAGCTGGGGTCTCGACAGAGCAGAATAGAGGGGAAGAATCACCTCCCTTGACCTGCTGCTACATGTAGCTTCGAGTTTACTGATGAAAAGACAGCATCTAGCACGAATTTATGACCTGTGTGAGTAGAGCCTGGCCGCACCACAGCCAGAGGGGGGATCCCTTCACAGGAGACAGAGCAGGTGACAGTCCCGTGGCCGAGGTGGGCACAGCTGGACCCCACAGCACCAGCCCAGAGCTGCCCTGCTCATAGACTAGCTTGGGCAAAACAGAAGCTGACAGAAAAATGAATTCTTAACAAAGATGGCAATTTTGAGCGAGCCCACATCTGCTGCTGTTTTTTCTAATGTAGGACCCAAGTTTCAGAGAAGGAGAGGATTTAAGCGGAAAGGAAGAATAATTACAACGTCACTGAAGTAAAGGAGAGTAAAAAGATATCACAGACGTCTAATGAGAGGTCTACACAGACTTATAATGAATGCTTGTGAAGTATGTGAGTGTTGTCAATATTTGTACCACCAATGCAAGAAAGTACAGAAGAGAAGTCCCAGATATTTCGTCTGAGAGAAAGAAAAAATTCCCTGTAAAAAATCACTGCAATCAGAATGAGTTAAACAAAACTTCACACTCCGCCTTGTAAAGAGGACTGAAAACCAGGGGAAATGGACACCAGTTTATTCCAGATGCAACTACACTGCTTGGAGATAAGTTTAATAAAACTGGTGGAATTTAAACAAAGATCTAGGAGAAAGCCAAATGCCAAATTCCTTCAGTAGCCAGTGGAGAGTGGAAAAGAAATACAGCTTAACTTTTCGAGAGGTGAATTAAGAAAACAGCCCCCATCTGTTAAATCTCTAAAGTGTTGATGTGATTACATCACTGGAAACAGGCAGTCAAAAGTTCAAAAAAAAAATGTTGATGCAAATGCAAAATTATTGAAAAGATAAATATGGACATTTTACTCGGGTGCAGACGAGCCTGAGACATTACAGAAGGAATGACGATTCAGGGTACTGCTTTCTTTGATGCTGGGCTGGAGTTGCACAAAAGCAGTTTCCATTGGATCTCGGGGAATCATATAGCACCTTTGAGAGTCCGTAAAGTTTAGTGAAATAAAATTGTGCGCAAGGGCTGTACAGCATTATGATTAGGAAACACTGAAAACAACACATACATGTAGCATCTAATTCAGTGAGGTGTGGCAATTTCCAACAGGGTATTTTTCCTTCCTCGTAATAATTAGTCCGAGTAATTCAGCGTATCATTGAAGCAAAAGTCCTGGTTGTGTTTTGTGTAAGCAGCAATAGACAGCTATAATACTAAATATTTTTAAATGAATACAGAAGGTCTCTGCCTAAAATATTTCACTGGAATCAGTTTGGAAGTCATCTACAAAACACAGCGCTGATTTTGAGCTACCTTCAAACCACTTTGTGCAGCTTCAACCTCTTCATTGCTACAAAACTGGTCCTGAGAAAGGCTATACACAAAATCATCTTGTTTTCAGGCAACCTCTGGGTTGGTTTTTTTTTTGAAGTTGGTGGTGCTGTCCGCTGCAGAAACCATGAACCTGGACAGCATGGACATACTATGATCTGACACACTGAGAGCTATCACATGTCAAATTTAGAATTAAGGAAAAGTGGTAAGTTTAAATGTAGAGTTGTAAAGCTCTACTTGAAAACACCAGGTTAATAAACTGCCATATTTTTTTAACGTCTGTTGTTAGACATATTTGCGTAACCCTGCTTGGTAAGAGAATAGGGGTTACTTTAGGCAACAGTTAGGTAATAGGCTCAGGTGAGAAGAGCTAATTGTAGGCCTTAATAACGACCTATTTGGCACAAAAAGCTGTGTGTAAAGAAAAAAGGCAGAGGGCCTGTTATGTCCACCCTGGGCCCATTGGACGAAATCACCCTATAGCAGGGAAATTTGCGAGTTTTTCTGCTGCAGTCCCAAGAAACTCCATATAAAAAGGAAGATTGCACATTTGTTTTTTCCCAGGTTTAAAGAAATCTACGCCACAAGTAACGTTCTCAATTTTAATACTGGAAACCATTAGTAGAGGCAAAAATATATCAGAAATTTAAATACCATGATAAAAAAAACCCCACAAACATACTTTCTTCAGGAACAGAGCTTTGCTGAGACAACAGCTTGAAGTGTTGTAACTCTTTTGCCACATCTGAGCTCTCATGGCCATTCAAGACTTACAGTGGACTTTTGAACTGGGTGGTAAAGTCTTAAAATACACAGCGTTAGCAGAGGACGTGTAGTGACATTAATGAAATTTCTAAAATTGAGAAAGCATTTAGCAATTTCATATAGCATTTTGTAAATCACCTTGAAAGATCTCCTACTTTATAAAAAATTAGAAAATGTGCAGTTGGACAATGTTCACAGTATAGCAGCAACGTTTCTAGAGGATACAGGACACCCCTCGTGATTTCAGAGCACCCAAGGCAGAACAAGTGCGTTCTTTTGTTGCGGGGACAGGACTCTATAACAAGAGGAAAAAAAATGAGTGGGTCATGCAGTCCTGGCAAATAATTCATCATCTTATAACTGACCTTTATTTTCTTCAGGAATTTTTCCCAAGTAAATCCTATGGTTAGAGCTGAAAGACGTTAACAAGTTGAAGGGCAAAACAGACCCATTACAGTGGTTACTGATACGGAGTAATCTCTTAGAGCAGTATGCTTCAGCGGGCCCGCTTCTAGGCAGCTACTCTGAGTCTCAAAAATGTTCTGAAATTTGACTAGCTTGCAACTTGTTACCTAGTTGGAGGCCAGCTCTGTAATTAGTGTTGATTGATCCTCAATTCCTTATGAAAAGATTAGCAGACCAGTTTAGAATATGTCTGATAGAAGATACAGGTAACAGACTACAAAGGAACCCATTTACTACAGTCCTAGACTGAACTGGTGGTGGGGACACATTTTTGGATAAAGGAAAATACATCCAAGTCTCTCAAGTAATCTAATCCAACAGAATAGAACAGAACAGAACAGAACAGTTCGAAGGGACCTACAGTGATCATTTAGTCCAACTGCGATGTATGTTTGGGACAAGAAGATCTACTATTAGTTCACTGTACTAGATTGTACAGAGAACTTGATCTAATGGGTGGCCCACAGACATAATAGGCAGAAAGTATTTAAGCAAATTAATTTCCCTCAAAATGAAGCGTCATTATCTTTCTACTGTGATGGTATCCTGTGCACTTGAAACAATTAATGAAATCAATACAGGGGAGAGGGCTTCTAATCTTGTAATTCAATTTCTTGAATAAGATACAGAAAAATAGTGAGCCAGATTTTGCTACTTTCACTAGCAATTTGCTCCACAAAGCATAGTTTTCTTCAGTGTATTATTAAGGGTATATGAATTACCCTGCTATAGATTGCAAGAGGATAAACGCTGAGAAGATAGCACTCATTGAATAGCTAGAGCTTTTCCTCTTACTAACCAGCAAAAATATTACTGTTTAGGATGGTTCTTTCCACTTGAACTGAATCATCCAAAAAAAAAAAAAAAAAGAGAGATTGACGCGTTCACTGTAACAAAATTCTTAAAGAATTTTTGTTTCTAGAACTAAATGAAAGGAAAAACCTTTTATTGAAGAAACAATTTTAATAAGGTCAAAGTGTACAAAAAAATATCAGAACAAATGTTAGATGAACAGAAGATTAAAGAGTAACTGTGGCCTCACTGGACAATGTGCATTACATACCTCCTTACTCATCTGAAAGAGAATTAGGACACTTATTTTTTTTAAAAAAAACCCAACAGTTTTATAATTGCCCATCCTACATGATTATTCTGTCCATTCCTTTGCTGCCCCAAATGCAGGAGTTTCATGTTTCAGAGGACCTTGCAGCTAGAAAGGTTTAACTTATCTTTATTGATTCAATTCATAGACTTTTTAACAAAACTTTAACAGGTTTTATTTTTTTTTAAAGCTTACTTGCAAGTCATGTTTTATAGGCAATATTCTACCACTTAGCTTTGGTAGTGGTTGATGTAACATTTTACAGAATATTTGCTATTCACACAATTTGCATTAGATTTAAAATACCATGACTGAAACAAAAGTTAATTTGTCCAAAAGGACAGTCAAAGAGGCTAAAATTTTAGAACAATCATTGAGAGCCTTTACTGTATCATAGTCACTTCAAGTGTTGTAAAGCAGTTTTCTACAATCTTCAGTTTTTCTTCAGAAAGCAGGTTTTCTTGCTTCAGTTGTCCAATAAGAGCTTCCAAGGACCTAAGTCTCCCCAAAGTTTTTATTTCCTGCATTTCAAGTAGAGTTATCTTAGAGTAGAGCTTTGAAATTTTTTGCCAAAGGTGATCTCTGTCTATGTCTTGTTTGCAGTACGAATGCTCAGTTTGTAATACTTCACTTCCACCATAAGCATTCATATACACAGGTGCATCTGTTTCTGTCTCCTCTGTGTCAAGAAACTCTTGCTTAACAGGCAGGAAAGAACTACTTACTATTTCAGGCTCTTCTGGACTCTCGGCTGGCACAATAATAGCAATGACAGATTCTTCACTTCCGCTGAACTGTTCAATAGTTTGTGTGACTGTACTCAGTAAAACTGCATTTTCACTTGTTGGCTGTACTTCAACAGAACAGCCTACAATGTGAGAGTTAGGATTTTCAATTGCATAGTCAGTAATTGACCCTAAAGCATCGTTCAGTTTCAGAGATGAATTCAAGTAGTCAGAGTCTGTGAATTGCAAGACTGTAGCTGTACAACCGACTGGATCCTCTACAGAAGTAGGAACAACGGTACCTTCCATGCTCTGGACTGCTGCTGCCATTAAAACAGGATTAGGTTGATGTATATGCTGCTTAGATGAATTATCAAGAATGACACAGTCTGCTGGGAAGCCTTCTCCGCTTTGAAGTTGTAGGTTTTGAATTTGTAAAGGTTTACTCAACGCAGCTGAGCAAACTACTTCTGCTTTTTCATCTACATTTTCTGCAATTACAGGATTTTTCTTTGGTGTACAAGGTTCAAGTGATACAGATGCCTTCTTTGACTCTACATTTCTATTTGTTTCTTCCAGGTCTTCCCTCTTTATCTCTTGTGGGGTGTTCTGAGAAGAGTCTTTTTCCTGGAGAAGAAAATAAACACAAATCCAACCACCTTGTGACTAGGAAATCACTTGAACCAAAAAAAAAAAAAAACCCAAAAATTGGGCAAATCTCATTCTATAGCACGGTACAGCGTAACTAATGATTTAGACAAACACCATCTGAAAATTCCACCAGAGATCTGAAAATTCATCTAAGTATCTTCCATAACTTTGCTTCAGGTTCTAAATGTTAAAATACTATTTTAAAGCTCTAAAGGCAATAATATGTTTTGGGTTGGTTTTTTTTTTGGAACTTTACTGATTTACACAAGTCATCAGAATTTTAAAAGCACTTGCAGAGAAGTGGCTAGACAAATCTGTTCGACAATGACTGGCTAGCTTCTCCTATTATCACCTGAAACATTGTATTAAATATACCTGTATTAAATATATGTCGTACAAGATTTTTGCATTAAAGATGCAACAAAGTTGTTTTAGCCAATTATTGCAAATTTTTAGTCATGTGGTTCACCCCAAAGAGAATTTAATAACAACAACAAAGATTATGAACAGATGCTTGCAGATGCAAAAATACATAGGTGGGTTTTTAAATGAGCAATTCAATTCTGCCAACTAAACCTCACAATTCATAAAATTTGAGAAATTTTATTTTGGATGGATAGAAATTTTAGCAGAAGGATAAAATTTTAACAGGACTTTAAACATAAGTTGTTACTGAAAGAGAGACAATTTGAAGTTTATCTTCCCCCCCCCCCCCCCCCCAAAAACCACAACCCCACCCGATTAGACTTAAGATCAGTATCCACACAAGCTTTTTAGTATGTCAGTCAGTGAAACAAAAATACACTCATAGTGAGGGTCTTACTTTTTTCTAGTTGGCTTGATCATGAAGAGGCTACGCTGCTGAATATAGGCCAGGCAAAAAATACAGGGGGCAGGGGGGAAACTACCAGGCCAAAAAAAAAGATTATGATGGAAAAGATAACTTTAAGGTGTATGTTCATAAAAGTATCTACGTAGTCTGAAGTATCCTAAATATATCAAACTTTGTAATTTGGTTTTATATGAAACTTCAGTCTTAAAAGGACTGAGAAACATACACAAAAATAGAATCCATTCAGTTACCTTTATCTTTTCCAAGGTGGTACTTCACATCAATCTTAGGGATTTTGAGAGAATGAAGTATTTCCCTTTCTCTGTTCTACCAGCACTTGAAAAAGGCCTTCTCAGACTAAATCTTTTAACGAGACAAATCTCTTATGAAATAAATTAGGGAAATGTACCCCAAATGCTTGCCTATCAGAACTGCCATGAAGGCTGAAGGAAGGGCACCAAAACACTTCTCTGGGCAGAGCTGCTTGAAGATAGACCTTTACTTTCATTGAAAAGCTTCCTTGTCAATCAGTCCCTACCTTCACACTCTTATGACAGTCTTCAAAATAAAAATCTTTGCAAACTAATGTAGAATGGTTACCGACACTGAAATGCAGGCAACTAGACACTTGTGAGACACTAACATTCTTTATTTAGAAGAAGAAATAATGAAATCATTAAGCATTTCTGGGAAATATCCTTCACTTGCTCCATAATACATAAAGCAACGTGGTGGTGAACACTACACAAATACTGCAACTCTTCCCTCTCTTTGCCACTCTCATTTTTCCAAACCAAGGGTTTATAGATAAGTGTTGAAAGGCAGCTTGGGACTTTAGCTCCTTGTTCCTCCACATTAACTTGGGAACACAATAACAAGGGATTCTCCCCCAAAATAAGGAGAGCTCTTTCCCATGTCTTTGTGAATATTCAGTCTATGTAGAAATTCCAGTTTTGGGGTGTGGGAGAGTAACAGAAGATCAGTGAGGATCGTAAACACGCTCAAGTGACTCACACATGCGGTACTGGAGAACACATGTATCACGCTAATTGTCGTTTAGTCTTACGTGCTCGGCAAGTACGGCACCCGCACTTAGATAACATAGGCCTGTGATGGACTCGGAGGCACCCTATTGAACACGCCTGAGATTCTTGCGCTGCTGTCGGGGAAGATCAAAGCACAGTGGAAAACTATGCCTGCTTGAATCCCTGAAATACAGACGAAAACAGCAGGTTCGGATGCTCTCTCTCACTCTCTCGCTTGCTAACAAGGGCTCTCTCGCTATCCAGGACGCTCTCACTCCATGGTGCTTGCAGCCCCAACTTGCATGCCTCTGCCCATGTGCTGCTTCAGAGATTCCACGGTGTGTGAGGTATCAAGATTAAGTTAGTTCTTTGCCTTTTATCCATGGTTTTGTGGTTGTTCCTGCATTCTGCCTGTGTCGGCTCACATACGGGGCAACTACAGAACCAGCGGCCAAGTCAGCAGATATTGTTGATTTGCTGAGGTGGTCACTGACATGATATGTGTAAATGTTTAGAAAAGCATAGTCAGAAGTGTGAGATTAAAGAAAATAACACCAGAAAGAAAAGTGAGAGCACAGGAAAGCAAGTTCACAGTATCACAGATACCAAGAACAGGCATCTCTTTTCTTTTGATAGCAGGGAAGTGATGGATACACTAAAAGGAAACACAGAATATTCTTTTCCCAAACTTGATAAATTTATCTGGGATTTCCCATATATTGCTGATATAAAAATAATTTGGAGAAGCCACTGGTACGTCCTTAGCAACACCACCGCATAAAACTTGGTTAACTTCATAACTCCACTCTCCACTTTTGTAGGTGTACTACGACTGGTCTATGGTCACATGCAAAACAAGAGAGAATGAAGAGGTGGGGAAAAGCTGACTTTTCTTTGGCGTAAAAATCACATAGTTTATCTGTAATTGCACAGAAGAACAGGGCAGCAAAGTCCAGTTCCACAAGCTAGGGCTCCCTGTTGCAATGACAGCACAGGCAAGCGAGGGATATATTGAAGCAGAGTTGGGGGGTGGAAGGAAAGATATTTATTGCTAAGTTACTACCACCATAAATCACAGGAAATTCTATTTTTATACTTGAGAGCTTCACCATGATTGCTTTTCACTCTACAGAGTCGGAAGCAGTCAGGGCACTTGTAGCTGTCCAAGAAGACAAGAGAACTTTATGACTAAAAATAAATTATTTTGTAAAATTTACTAGCCACACATTTCAGTTTCAGCAATTTAGGCTTGACAGTAATTCCAGTCTCTCCATTTCTCTGACCTCCAATCCAATGATCCAGAGGAAGACAGTTATGTGCCAGAAGAGAATTAGCATAGCTTTGATCAAGATTAGCTATAGCCTCTGTAGCACAGCATTTTTATGTAACAAATAGTAGAACTCTGTGAAAGACATGATGGAATAGTCTTTGTGGCTTTAGCAGCCTACACCCCTGAACTCTTGTTAGAGAGGTTAGGGACGGGAAAGAGAAATGTGTAGTTTGAAACTAATACATTCCAGAGCCAGTATTTATGTACAGTTAATAAAAGGCCTTAAAATAATTTTTAAATATTAATTAAGACCAATTGCACAGGAAAAAATATTTAGAATCATAGTATTTTCATAGGAAATTTATTTTCCTATGGGAAATTTCCTATAGGAAATGCTTCTGTAATTTCCAGTTTAGAAAGATATTGAACCTCCAGTCAAAGTATGGGAAGTTTTTCTTCCTTTACACTCTGGAATCACATACTTGTTTTGTGTCAGTCCTGTTGACAAAATATTTTGATGGATGGGAATTCTATTTTTAAAATAAAAGATGAATACAATACAGGTAATTATAACATCTGCATTACTTAAATAGTTGGCTAGCTTTGTACTATAATAAAAAAATAGGAATACAATACCTCATCATCTGGGGAAGAGAAAATTGTTGGTACAGCATTGTGTTTCAAGTACCGTATACCCCATCGCACATCAAGGGAATCAGGAGTAAAATGATCACTGCACAGAAGCTGGTGCTTACTCGGAGTCCACGCATCTCGTTTCATATTCCGCAACCATTTCTCAAGTCTCTCTTTATCATGAAGTGGAAACCTTTTTTAAAGTGGTTGAAAAAACAAACAAAAACACAAACATAAAAACTTTTTTTTTTCTTTTTCTTTTAAAATAAAGAATATCTCATTGCTTCTTACAAGGTAGTCTTTCCTTACAAAAAGATTAAAATAAGCATTTTTAAAAAATTTTAAATATGAAAAGCTAATCAGGATGTCACTTACACATTAAACCAATAATTATCTGAATTATTTCTAGTTGGATATTTGCTCCAATTCAGCAGCAGAATTTCTGTTGATTTCTGCTAGCCAAGTGTTTCAGAACCCATGCCCAAGATGTTTTAAAAGGCTTGATCTCACAACACTTGTTCAGAAAATAGTTCTGCTGAAGTCAGATGAAATATTCTGACATAATTTTAAAAAAGTAAGGTCTGGCCCTCTTTTTAGAAATAATATTTCTGGGGCTTTTTTGTCTTACTAGACACAACTAATAATAAAAAATTTTGTTACTATTTTTTAACAGAGTACCTTTTAATATGTGTCATACTTCAGATTATCTGATAACTTGGAAATGTGAATATTTCCAGTGCAGGATTTAAATTTTGTTCAAAAAGTAAATACACACAAATGCAAAGCATTTCTGTATTTTGTGTTTCAACAATCAAGCTTTCTTACAGCGTAGAGAGACCACACAATATTATGTAACCCATAACTAACTTTTCAACCATCTAATCTATTTGAAAAGGAAAATTAAGAGTATACACATTCACAGAAAAAAAATTAAATTATTTTGAAAATATATGCAAATGGTCAGACAAATTACATGGGAAAGAGAACTACATTAAAAGAAAGGGGGTGAAAGTATAAAATTTACTTAGTGAATCACGATACACAAATTAAAGGGAAATTAAAGGCTCATTATGATACATGTAGAGTTAAGCAGTTACGATAATGGCAACATGAACATTCAGACCACTCTTGGCTCTCATGTCTTACCAGACAGACATCAGGGTATTTGTAATGCACTTACAGATTTATTTGGTGCTTATCAAGTTTCTTTCAACTCTAGCATATAACCATATACGATATACATAAACCATAACTTGAATTCTGAACACTGTTAAATAACTACCGTTAAGAAAGCAATATTGCTTAGAATCATGAGCAATAATAATTAAAAAAATCTATGCTTTTGTGGATATGAAACAGTAAGAGACAGATTTATGTGGTCATTAAACCTGACCTGATGGTAACTGTAGGATGTAAAAAACATGAGCTGTTGCCAGTATGATGGACAACAGAAACATCCAGATGTGAATGAGTGCCTACAGCCTCTTTACAAGAGCCATTTTGGTTTACTCCCTAAATACAAATGGAGCATTCCTAATTCCATTTCTCCTCCTTAAGCTCGTTTCCTTTTAATTAATAATCAGTTATTTTGGTTATGCTTATTACCATACATTTATGGAACTTCAGTGCACAAAAAAATTGGTTCTGCAGTGAGGTACTACCAAAGAACAGAAGCTGGGGAGAAAGCCTGGAGTGCCCGCTGTCACCTGAATGCTATGAAAGGCACCAGTGAGTCAGGCTACTTCTTGGCAAACCCTAGATCCCACCCTCACATCCCTGAAGCTGCAGGTTTCCTCCAAAACCCACATATGGCAATGACTCTCTTACGCAGGCCCACCGTGTTCATAAAAATACAAACTTAGCTGATTTTGAGAGAAAGATACCTGAGATTCACAGGATAAATGTGCGTGTCTTCACCCTCTTCCCCAATGTTTTGCATTTGTTGCCATTTAAGTTTCGAAGTTACCAAGGAGACAGAGCAAGTTTTTGATGCATCTGGCTCTGAGTGTCTACAGGAATGCAAAGATAGCAAGATGCAAGGAATGCAGGAATGCAAGGATAGCAAGAACACAATAACCTCCCAAGGACAGGTTAGAGGTTCAGCCTTTTCAAATCCTGCCTGCTTTGATTGTGTACACCCAATAGCAGCATTACATATATTATACAGCATGCCGCATGAGTAACAGAGCTTAGCCTGGGATGTTACTACATAGGTCCAAAGAAGGCTCACAGTAAGAGGATGGCTTCTTTCTTTTGAAGGTCTTGACACCAACTGCATCCTTTCCAAGAAGGAATAGAGAACATTTGCTTCCACTGCTGCTACCCTCGCAACACAGCACTCACTGCCTTCCCCTTCCCCACAGCCAGCCAGCTTCAGCTGGGAAACAAAATATTCTGTAGTGAGAGACAATGCCTGATAACAAAATTTATTATGTTAGCTTAAAGGCAGCTTTGCCAAAACCTGCTCCTGCCTCAATACCCCCTTACTCATCAACAGAATCTATTGTCTGGTGTAAATGAGACACCAAAAAAAAGGAAAACAGGAAGAGGAAGTGAAGAGAATTTATTCGGAAACTGCCACCACTGCACAAGTCAGAGAGGTGAAGAAATAAAACAAAGGCAAGCTGTTAGGCCAGCTGAGATCAAGTCACAGTTAAAAAGTTCAGAAGGGGGTCAGAACCAAAATCACAGAGCAGCAGAGGACTTCTTTGGGGTGGTAAGGGGCAAGGGAATAATTACTTGCAATTCATATCAGTAGTAGTTGCTAATGTAGGGCAAGAGATCTCTATATATCAAATCTCAGCACCCCTTCTACAGGACCACGATACTCATAATGCAGCACAATTCAATGGCTAGATAAAACAGCTGTGTTTTTGCAATCATCTTTATACTGATGCCATACATTTGAATATAAATAAGTATCAGCACTCAAATTTGTTTTGATCATCCATGTGGCACTCACATTCTCTAAAGCAACATAAATAATTTATTTCCCCTCATTTTCATGATTGTTTTACGATGAATCACATATTAAGACATGGTGAGAAAAAGAGCTTTCCTTCAATATAAACTAAAATCCTCTCCAAAGCAGTCTTCCTGTGGGTCTTCCTACATAGCCTTCCTGATCTTGGAATAACGACTACTCCGCAACTGAAACAACTGACAACTTAGTTTGAGGTACAAATTTTACCAAAACAGATTTTAAGGCTAGTTGTGAAATTTATTCTTCAAATTTTTCTTAAATGCTACAAAATTCCTTCTGTTGACAAGTGCTTATCATACTTTTATTCAACATAAATACATTAATATTTAGTTACCGGCACTGTGCTCCTCTCAGGGTCAAGAAACACGGTTTTTAACTCACCGTTCTGGGAATCAACAGCCACGTAACCACAACAGTACAGAGGTTACTGCGGGCCTGGGGCGGTGACTAATCAATCGGGTGGCCGGATAGTACCATGCTGCCACCATAAACTGGTTTTTGGCAACTGAGCTAGTTAGCTTCCAGCTAGCTTAGCTGCCTCCAAACAAACCAGCAATGCTTCTGTTCACAGCCTAGGCAAGATAATAATTCTAGTGGGAATATTTAAAGAATCAAGATATGTTTACTTTCCTACTCCGTTAGGCCCTCCGGTTAGCTTGCGAGCTGTCAGATAGAGGACACCCACCTCCCTCACCATTAAGCCAATGCCTCCACTAATGCTCGCCCTCCTGAAACACCCCTTCCACAAAGGCAGCCACGCTTGAAAAAAAAACCCAAACCCAAACCCGTGTTAACCGCTGCTACTGGGCTCTAACAGCTGAACAGCCTCATGGTCATAGGCGCAAATTTTATTTTTTCAGTCGACTCTCTTTGGTTTTCACTGCATGAACCCTCTGCACCTTTTCGAGGGCCCTTCGGCGCTGCTGTACCCCTCCCCGGGTCGGCACCGGGGTGGCGGCGGTGGTGGTGGGGGTATGTGTGTGTGATTAACTACTCAGCCTGCTCCCCCCCCCCCCCGAGATGACAGCGCTATTTCCCCCCGCCCTCTCAGGACCCGGCAGGGCTCAGAGGCGGCTCCCAGTCCCTAAAGTTAGTTTCTCGCCATTTACACCTGCCTTCTCGCCCCTCCCCCGGCTCCTGAGGTGTCGCTGCGGGCCTCGCCTCACGCGGGGTCGGCCCCTCTGGCGCTCGCCATCCCCGGGGTCGGCCTTCCCCTCCCTCCCCCGCCCCCCGCCGTCCACTCACGGGTAGAAGCTCAGCTTGCGCTGGTCCCTGGCGCTTTGGCCCCCTC